ACACCTTAGTCTCCAGAGACACCATTGCTCTTCAGTGCTTTGGAGAGGTCCCTAACAGCAGACTTTCCTCCCCCTTTATAAATGGCAAAGGGAACCTGAGAGTTGTGAACAGACTCCCCACAGGTCTAAACAGCTTTTGGCAGAAGCATTCAACAGATCAAAATATGTGGTACATTTAGGATGTCAGTCCTCTTGGACATGCTGCCACTGTTAAGTGTCATCAAGTAGACAACTCACAGTGACTTTAAACAATCCATTGTATCGGTGATCTTCTTCTCTGGCCTGTCCAAGGAAACCCAAACCTGCAGGTGGTCAGGGCGTGTGTCACCCGCATGGGCAGCTGGGGCGCACAGTCTCCCATGCAGGTGGTCTGGTCCTGCGTCTTCAGCGGGCAACCACCAACCTCCCCCGCTGCCGTCATCTTGGCTCCAGGAATTCTCCCCAGAACAAGTCCACTTTGTGGCAGTGTGGTGACTCCACTGCACCAGTCTCAGGGAGGCCCAGTGCCTACCATCCATCTTGGGTGAGGGAATCCCTGGGTTCCGGCAGCAGGAGCCTCATGGAACTGCGGCAGTGGTGGTGCAGTGCGTGCTCGACAAGAGGGTGCTAGGAGCTGCAGGACTCACCCATTCCTCTTTGGGAATCCTTGAATTCCTGTTGTTGACCCTCGATCTTCACTGAAGACCAGTCATCAACTGTTTAACTGTTCAATTATCAACAAACAGAGGTCTGTAGAAGGCCATAGTAGCCCTCCTCCAAGTGGTCCACTGCTCCTACAGCTTACCATGTTGTCTCTGCCTCCACTGCCATCTTGAATCCCCTTACTCTTTTTTATACTACCATGTTCCCTTTAATACCTATTGTTAACTTTCATCACATAAATGATGAACAAATATTTTTGAGACAAACTTATGTATAGCAACAAGTATCCATGGAAGCTTCAAAGATATGTCACATAGCCTAGGGAGATGTATTATTGCTGAGATTCCCTCAGATTTGTTAATTTTTCCACTTTGTTGTTGAGTCTCTAAACTAGTGGATATTCATTCTATAGCATTTATTTCCCACATCATTTGTTTCCAAATGGCAAGGGAAATTTTGTGGTATTTTCTAAAAATATTTTTATATCTCTTTGCTTATACTGTTACTGAAATTACTTATTTCCTTGCTGAAATTTTATCTAGATATACTGTCATTTAAAGTCGAACAATGAAGCATCCAACTAATAGTTCAGAACAGGCAAAGCAGAGTGTTTGCAGTAATTAAGAATAAAAGAGGGGTCTGGAAAGATAGCATCTGGTGATGCCCTCCACAAAATCCTGGAAGACCAAATGAGACATATATAAATGATGACCCTGGAATGCTAATCATCAAATGTGATGATAGAACCTGGAATAAATGCCTATTGAAAAGGAAGGTAGAATGAAAACAAAGACTAAGAAAAGAGGCAGACAGTGACTTTGTGTCATGTCTGGCCCCTTTGGGGGTTTGTGTGGATGGGTATATATATTTTTGTTTGGTTTTCACTTTTTTTCTTGTTGTTTGAGTGAAAATTTATATAGCAAATTGGTCTTCCACTGAGTAATTCCTTCATGTTCCATGACATTGCTGACAGTGACTGTACCATGTTAAAAATCAGAGTTCTTTTTATGACTGAGATATTTCAGTCAGCGTAATGTCCTCCAGGATCATGCATTAGTGCCACTGTTGTAGAACAGGACTGATATCAGAGTTGGGGTAAGACTGAGGAAAACTGGATAAAATATGTTTACTGCATTGAAACAGATGAGGGAGAAAACAGTTTAAAAGCGATATATGAGTGGGTATTATGGTTATGTCAAGAGTCCAGAATGAAGGTTGCATAGTGGAGTGTACTCAGGAGGAAGGGGGATTGTAAACCAATGAAAGAATTTTTCTTTTACTTTTCAAACACAGGAATGAACTACAGGGAAGGGGTGGGCGGGGAGAAAAGTGCAACAATGAATGAATGGAATCTAAAATACCTGTAAATGTTCATTAAAATTAATTAAAAAATTAATTTTAAAAAATCAGAGTTCTATCTTCCCCACTTCCAGGGAAACTAGTATTTTCAGCTATGGAGTGGGGTGAGGTGACTGTAGAGGAGTAAACAGACCCACATTCTGTTGCAGTTTAGCAAAAAAAGTGGAAAAGATTTATTAAGGCAATGCAAAGGAGGCTTATCTGGTGAAATGTAGAGGTAGGCAGTGTAAAAGAGGTAAACTTGGGGAAAGGTAGACATTCCCTTTGGGAGGAGAACAGTGAACCCTGAACTTTTGGTATGGTGCCGACTGACAAAGAGAGCGACCCCTGGATGGGCATTGCTTACTGGCTCCCAGTTTCATGAGACTGTTCATAGCCTAGCCCTGCTGAGGAGGGTGAGATTGGTTCTGGCTTGGTTCCCCTAGTTTTTGGGGAGTGGTGCACATTTTCCTGTCTTCCAGCCCTCCTCAATTCCTTTTTTAATGCTTTTTCTGTTCCATGCTATTAATTGTTAGGAAAGAACTTTTAATCACTTTTATCCATTACCAAATGTTTTGGGTCCTCGGTGATTCCATATTTAATATGCAGTGATATATCCCATGAAAGGGGTGTGTGTGTTCCATTGCATGCACGTTTGTATGTGTGTGTGCTGTTTGTGATTTTATTTTAATTATAAATGTAACATGCATAAACACAGAGAAAATTAAAGAAGAAGAAACAAAGGAAATAGATTGGAAGAAATCAAACAAGGAACACAGAGACTAATACCGTTTTGAAATTAACCTAAGCAGTGAATTATTATGTTGTTGTTGTATATAGGAACCAGCTCACCTCTGACACCCAAATGGGTTTTCAGAGACAACAAACTACATGGGAGGAGAGTGGCCATCCTTATCCCACCATAATCTATCAAATCTCAAGTCCTACCCTTGAAATAAAAATTACACACCACAACAAGATAAAGGTAAATAATCCAATAGAAAAATGGGCACAGGATATGAACACCAAAGACATTCAGATGGTCAACAAGCACATGGAGAAATGTTCAAAATCCCTAGCTCTAAGAGAGATGCAAATCAAAACAACTATGAGATATCATCTCACCCCAGTCAAAATAGCAAAATTTAACAGAACAG